TTGTTGCCCTTGGTAGTGTTATGGCATCATAGCTCACAACAACCTCAAACTCTTTTTTTTTTTTTTATGATCTGTTATTTCACTTTTTTTTTAATTAAATGATAACTATGTACATTAATGCAATTCTGGGGTACAGTGTAGTGTTTTCACATACAATTTGAAATATTTTCATCAAACTGGTTAACATAGCTTTCATGTCATTTTCTTAGTTATTGTGTTAAGATGTTCATATTTTACTCTTAGAAAGATTTACTTGTACCCTTATAAGATAAACCATAGAAGTGATCCCTCCAATCACCCTCCCTTCACTCATTCCCCTCACCCCTCTCCCTCACAGCAACTTCAAACTCTTGGGCACAGCAATTAACTTGCCTCAGCCTCCCAAGTAGCTGGGACTATAGGTGCCTGCCACATGCCAGGCTAGTTTTTCTATTTTTAGTAGAGACGGGGTCTCACTCTTGCTCAGGCTGGTCTCAAACTCCTGAGCTCAGGCAATCCACCCACCTTGGCCTCCCAGAGTGCTAGGATTACAAGTATGAGCCATCGCACCTACCTGGCATAGAAGGGGGCTCTTGAAACAGGGAAGTGGGGAAGGGAGCCAAGGCATGGCAAGGAATGAGCCCTGGGGCAGGGCTGCGTCTGGGCTCATCTTGACAGCTGAGTCCCCTTGTGTTTCCAGATTATCAGTGAGGAGCGGTTCCGGCAGCTGGAGAAGATCAAGACGATTGGTAGCACCTACATGGCTGCCTCTGGGCTGAATGCCAGCACCTATGATCAGGTGGGCCGCTCCCACATCACTGCCCTCGCTGACTACGCCATGCGGCTCATGGAGCAGATGAAGCACATCAACGAGCACTCCTTCAACAACTTCCAGATGAAGATTGGTGAGAGAGCCTGGTTGCTTGGCAGGTTTTTCCAGGATGCTCTCAGGGTGAAGCTGAGGGATGGGGTCACAGATTCCCCATCAGGGCTCCTGTGGGGCTTCTTCCTTCCCACCTCCTGTGTCAAGTCCGACACTGAGAGCAGAGATGATTAGGCACTGCCCTGGACATTTTGAGCACACCTTAATCTTCACATTATTATCCCCTTTTACAGATAGATTGATTCTCAAAGAGATTAATAACTCACCCAAGGTCAAACAACTAATAAGTGGCTGAGGTGGGATTTGAAGCCAGGTTTATCTAAACTCCAATACCTGTGTCCTTACTTTTATGGCCAGTCTGGTAAGAGGTACTTCCTCTCAGATGAACTGGTGGATGGGAGTGGTGAATAGCATGGGTTCTGGGGTCAGATAGTCTGGTTTGAATTCTGGATATTCCATTTACTGGCTTATTTAGTAATTCATCTAACTTCTCTAAGCTACAGGTTATCTGTAAAATGGGGATAATAATACCAACCTTTTGGAGGTATTATGAGAATGAAACAATGTTGAAATGCTCACTAGAGGGGTGGTACAGATTACATCTAAAGCATAGGTTTCTTGACAGGAAAACTCCTCAGCTGATGTACCCAGATCTTTACAACCAGGAGAATTGTCCTTTTCCTTCCTTTTTCTCTGGGTCCTCCTAACGGTGCCAGGAAATAGGATGACTCCCTGGATTGACCCTGGAGCATCCACTAGTCTCAGTCTCTTGCTGTTCTCCCCACCTCAGGGCTGAACATGGGCCCAGTTGTGGCAGGCGTCATTGGGGCTCGGAAGCCGCAGTACGACATCTGGGGGAACACAGTGAATGTTTCTAGCCGTATGGACAGTACGGGGGTCCCTGACCGAATCCAGGTAAGGGCGATATGAGCAAGGGCTGGGAGGAGTCTGGTCCAGAGGCTTCTACATATCTCTAGTCTGCTAGGACAGGGGATTGGATGGCAGTGTTCTATGGTTGGTGGGGCAGGGATTGGGGGAGGGGAGCTAGCCTGACCAGTGAACTCTTGGGTCCCGGCAAATGCAGCAGAAGGGACTCCAGGCTAAGCAGGCTCCCTTTCAACTCCTCCCAGGTGACCACGGACCTGTACCAGGTTCTAGCTGCCAAAGGCTACCAGCTGGAGTGTCGAGGGGTGGTCAAGGTGAAGGGCAAGGGGGAGATGACCACCTACTTCCTCAATGGGGGTCCTAGCAGTTAGCAGGGCCCAGCCAAAAATTCAGCTGAAGGGACCAAGGCGGGCATTGAGTGGACTCTGTGCTCCCTGGGTGGAGCTGTGGCAAGGGGCACGGAGCTGCTAGACCCTACTGACTGCAGAAGGGGACACCTCAGCAGACTGTGCTTGGACCATGCTCGTCTGCCCTCAGACTGGTGAATGAGAGGCTACCAAGAGGATTATGCAAGTGACTTTTTTAATTGGAGTAGGGCTGTTCCAACTTTTGGGAACAGGGGAGGCAGCAGCAGCAAAGGCAGGGGAGCCCTCCTGCCTGAGAGATTAAAATGGCAGCTTGCCATGCCTGCCTTTTCCTGCCTATCTGGGCAATAGGTTCAAGGCTAAGCCCTTCCTCTCCCTTTTTTTCCTGGGAATATTTTGTACAAAGATTTGGGGGCAGGCATGAGGAGTGCCTATTCCATGCTTGCCTTTGCTATGCCTGTGCCCCCAGCACTGGTCCTGGGCACCTTCCTGTCCCAGCCAGGTCCCCCTCCTAGGCACAAGGCAGAGGAGGGAGATGCTCTGGGGACCCAGTTCTGCCCATATTTCAGGGGAATGTTTCCATTTGCCAAATCCTAGTCCCACAATCTGTCCCCAAAGGGGAACAAAGGGACTCCTGACAGCTCAGATTTAGCCCCAGTTCCTGCACGCTCCAGGGAACGGGGTGTCTGGCCTTATTGGTACTGTGAAAATGCTCAGCAGAAAGCAAGCATGTGTGTGGGATGTCAGAAGATCAGGAACTGGAAGGTGCCAAGGAGCAGGCTGGCCAGGGCAGAGGTGGTGCCAGACACTGATCTGAGGACCCCTCTAGGGGTCAGGCTCAGGTCTCTCTGCCTCAGCACTCTCTTGCTGTCTGTTGGCAAGGGGGCGTGGAGCATCTCTACCCTTTCTGTTGCCAAATAGAAAAGGATCAGGGCATGGAAGGAGATGACCCTGATCCCAAACCCATCCTCCCAAGTTTCTAGCACTGGGGAGGGCTTGTGTGTTTGTGTACCTCTGTGTGCATGTTGGTCTTTGTGTGTGTATCTGTTTTCCAGGTCTGTGTGTGTCCTCGTGTTCCTGCTCCTCAGCTCTCCACCCTAGGTTGCCTCTCTCCTGTGGGCCTCTTTCTTCTGGGAATAAGACAGGGTTTTCTGTTTCAAGGGATGCAGAGAGATGCCCAGGTAGCACAGAAGTGGGACGGGGTGTGGTAGCAAAAGGAGGATGGCTGGGGAAAGGAGCCCTTTTTGTGCCAAATCCCAAAGTGCCATTTGGGTGCCACATGTGCAGCACAACTATCTCCTTGCCTATGGCAGGGACCCAAGCACCTGCTTGAGCCCCAGTGCTCCATGCACTTGAACTGTATGTATGGGGTTTGGTGGGCAGAGGCTTAGGAATTTCCTGGGTCCCCCAGATAGTATCCTGGGATGTGGTGTGTTTTAGGATTGACATAGTGTTGGATCCCTCTGAGGACCCAGATATTGGTACTAGGGGATGGGACAGGGAAACCTTAAACTTGGCTTTCCCCAGCTTTCAGCCTGAGTCTAACATGTTCCTGGATCCCCAACCCCTGTGAAACCTCCATGGGCTGGGAGAAGGGTTAGGAGGTTGAATTCTAGATTCCCTTCCCATCCTTGCCGCCTTTTTACCCCTTTCCTTGCAACCTCCTTGACTCTGGCCTGAATTAGTTGGTGCCTTGGTTTCTCTGTCTATAACTATTTAAGCCAAAGGCACCAACCTCAATTTTGCTTGAAGATCACTTTGTCTTGGAAGTGACTAGAGAGGCCGAAGAGAAAGAGTCCCCAAGTCACTGGCTTTGGGGAGTGGAAGGGGTGGGCAGTGTGCGTGCCTTTCCACATCCCCTCCGATGCCAGCTCTACAGAGGCCTGGTTTCTGGCTCAGTACTGTCTGCCTTAGGAGTTGTTCATGCATCAGCCAAAAGGGCCACCAGGCACTTTATTAGCCAAGGTAGAAAGGGGAAAAGACCAGTTGGTCCAGACAGAAAGTCCACACCCCTGCCCTGGCCATACTTCCCAAGAGGTAGGGACTGATGGTGCCATGGGGTAGGGGGTAAGTAGACTGAAGTGAGATCTCAGCTTTGGGTGACTCGTCTCTGCTTCTTGCCAGGTGGGGGGCTGTCCACACCCTGGCTCCCCATACCACAGTGCCAGCCATGCCCTTTTCCTGGCTACCATTGCCCCTTTCCTCACCAGTTGGTGGAGGAGTCAGGATGGGAGGCCAAGGGCTTTGGTTTTATAATGTAACCACTGTGGGGGTGGGGGGAGGATGATGTACCATGTATTTCAGTGAAATATTTAATATATTTAAATACCAATAAAATCAAACTCTTTGTAAAATTCCGTTCTCTGCAGCTGTTCTGGGCCCTGGATGGCGTCAGAAGTGACAGAGTCTGATATAGGAGGTAACCTCTTGCTCCAGGGCTCTGTAGGTCTCTCCTCTAGTCAGAGGGCTTCATGTGGCTTTCTTCCTGCCAAGGTGAAGATGCAGTATCTTTAAAGAGAGTGACTACTCTAGGCTTTTCAGTATCATGTGGACCAGTGTCTTCCCAAATTTGTTACCTTGACCTCTGCTACACATGAGGTCAAGACCCCTTGCTGTTGCCTCTCCAGTACTGAGCCATCTCAGCCAACTCACACCAAGGTCTGGCTCCTTCAGGAATCTCTCACACGTCTGCTTCCACAGGAATCTGGGCATTGGAATACCCACCCCTGGCCCCTACCCAGTGCACACAAATGACTTCTAGTCCAGTCTATTTACTTTGCCTCCTTACGCCCTCCTCCCATTAGTCATCCGCCTGATCAAGCACACCTCCCCACGTCCCCTCTCTGAGGTCCTTCCGTAGTTCTTGTCTGTCTGCAACCGTATCCTCCTCAGTACAGACTGAAAGTTCTGTCATTGAGAATAGAGTGATCCATAAACCTGGAAAGGAGAGAGAGGGTCTCAGGCCAGACTAGAGGGGGAGAGATCCTTAAAAATACCCATGAAGGGCTCGGCGCCTGTGGCTCAAGTGGCTAAGTACACTGGAGCTGGCGAGTTCAAATTCAGCCCAGGCTGCCAAATAATAGTGACGGCTGCAACTAAAAAATAGCCGGGCATTGTGGCAGGCACCTGTAGTCCCAGCTACTTGGGAAGGGGAGTCAGGAGAACCCCTTGAGCCCAGGAATTGGAGGTTGCTGTGAGATGTGATGCCATGGCACTCTACCCAGGGGGATAGCTTGAGGCTCCGTCTCAAAAAAAAAAAATAAAAAATAGCTGTGAAGACTACCGCAGGGCAGAAAGGGCAGGGGTGGTAACAAGAAAGCGAAGCTACTGCCAATGACAGTGGCCTGGAGGGGTATAGATGCAGCAACAAAGGGAGAGGGAGCATCCCCATCGCCCCACAGAAATACTTGGCATACCCACAAGGCAAAACACAAAGATGCAGACAAAGCTTTAACTCCTTTGAAAGCCACCACTGCCCAGATTCTGGGGCTGCTTTTTCTGGGAAGACCCATATTGCTCCTTCAATTCCCCAACAGCAGAGATGAAACAGTCTCTGAGGATTGAGGTGAGGAAAGGTAGTCCTTGGTGTTCCCATCCTAACCTCTCCCAACCTCACCTGGTCATTGGGCTTTTTATGAGACAGTGTCGTGGGCTCCGAATCCATGGCATGCTTTCCTCTGGACGAACTCCTAGATCATGGGCCCACCAGAAGCTGAAGTTCTGAGCATCAGTCAAGGGCACTCTGAAGACCTGATTGGGGACTGAATGCATGGGTGGGGGGGAAGGGCAGGTTATTGAATTTCTTCAAGTTCACTGCTCACTTTTCTGCCTCAGGGCAGCAAAAGCCTAGCCCAGTAACTGGGCATGACCAGGTGCTAAGAGGTCCTGGGAATGTGGTCACTATACCCTACTTCGCTTCCGGATTCCAGCATCTCACACCCTTCATGGTCAGATGAATCAGTCTTGGTTCTTCAGCTGCTAGTGAGCCTATCTCCAAAAGAGCCTTCCTCACATGCTAAGGTGGTGGAAAAACAAGTGGTCAACCCACTTGGGAAATGTGTGAGATGGGGTCCACTGATTCATTATTTTTCTTTTTTCTGGGCTTAATCGTCCTCATTCCCTTCCCTCTTTGAAATAATGCCTGCCTTTGCTCACTGCTGGTTATCTTCTGAAACTTAAAAAAGATACCACTGCACATTTACATACGACTGATAGATACCATTAATCAAGTGTCTATCATGTTAATGTTTTTAAAATTTTGAAATAATATCATGGGCAGCGCCTGTGGCTCAAAGGACTAAGGTACCAGCCCCATATACCGGAGGTGGCGGGTTCAAACCCAGCCCCAGCCAAAAAATACTGCAAAAAAAAAAAAAGAAAAGAAAAGAAAAGAAAAAAATAATATCAGACTTACCTATAGTGAAAAATTACTATTATTTGGGTAAATGTAATTCCACCAGCATAAAATTTGTATACTTTTTTTTTTTTTTTTTTTTGAGACAGAGCCTCAAGTTGTCACCTTGGGTAGAGAACCGTGGCATCACAGCTCACAGCAACCTCCAACTCCTGGGCTCAAGCGATTGTCTCGCCTCCGCCTCCCAAGTAGCTGGGACTACAGGCGCCCGCCACAAGGCCCGGCTATTTTTTGGTTACAGCCGTCATTATTGTTTGGCGGGTCCGGGCTGGATTCGAACTCGCCAGCTCAGGTGTATGTGGCTGGCGCCTTAGCCGGTTGAGCCATAGGCGCCAAGCCAAAATTTGTATACTTTTAAAACTTAAAATTATAGTCTCATTACATTCAAAAACACTACATTTTTGAATTAGTTGTTTTCCTACCAATTATAATAAAGTTTTTTCCTCTGATTATTTTATTTTATTTTTGTTGCTCCACAATTTAAAAAAAACTTCAGATTAATATGGGGGTATAAACAATTAGGTTATATTGTTTGCATTTGTTAAGTAACGTCCAAGTTGTAGTTGAGCCCTTCACCCAGGAGGTGTGTCTGTTAAGTGAAAGCACACCGATTCCCCTCCCTAAAAATATAGAGTGCTTCTCGAATTTGCGTGTCATCCTGGTGCAGGGACCATGCTAATCCTCTCTATATCATTGCAATTTTAGTATATATACTAAGTGAGCACTCATTAGTAACAAGTTTGAAAAAAAGTTTTACTATTAGAAATGACTCAGATGCCCCTCTTTTTGCATTTAGCTATTTTGATTTTGGAAAGTATTTTAGTTTTTTAAATTAAGCTTTAATTTTGAGATAATTATAGATTTACATACAGTTATAAGAATTTATGCAAAGAAAACCTGTGTATCCTTTACCTGTTCCCCTGATAGTAACACCTTATAAAACTATAGCATACTATGTAACCAGGTTATCGATATTAACATATTGATAAAGAACAGTTATATCACCACCCAACGGAGTCACTATTTTAGAGGTAAACACACCCCTTTTGGTAATCAATCAATGATCTGCTCTTCATTCCCATAATTTTGTTGTTTTAGCAATGTTACATAAGTGGCATTATACAGTAGTGATTTGAGGGGGGATTGGCTTTTTTTACATAGCATAATTCCCTGGAGATTCCTATAAGTCATTGCATGTATCAGAGTTTGTCCTAGATGCTTTTATAAATGTACATTTTCTCTCTAACTTTCTCAACAGTTGCTAAAGAGTATTCCCATTGCCAGATGTTTAAGAGAGGTTAAGTGGTTAAAGGAACCTGCCCAAGGTCATACAACTTGTTTGCACTTTTGGCTCGGTGCCTGTAGCTCAAGTGGCTAAGGCGCCAGCCACATACACCAGAGCTGGCAGGTTCAAATCCAGCTTGGGCCTGCCAAACGACAATGACAACTGCAACCAAAAAATAGCTGGGTGTAGCAAGTGCCTGTAGTCCCAGCTACTTGAGAGGCTGAGGCAAGAAAATCACTTAAGCCCAGGAGTTGGAGGTTGCTGTGAGCTGTGATGCCATGACACTCTACCCAGGGGGACAGCTTGAGGCTCTGTCTCAAAAAACAAAAACAAAAACAAAAAAATGTGTTTACACTTTAAACTCAGTTCAAATTCCAGAACTGGTGCTTGGTCTGCCATTCCTCACAGGGATAATGCATAATATACAAAGTACTTTCCAAAATTGTTCCATGTTTGGTTTGATCGTCCCAACAATTCTGAAAGAGCAGTAGAGTAGACATTCTCTCTCTTTCTCTTTCTCTTCACCCCAAATGAATGAGGAAGCTGGTTAATAAAGGATAAGTGACTTATCCAAGGTGCGACATCTAAAAAGAGACGGAAACAATCATTTCTGGTTTTACTCAAAGGTCACCTTTGCAGGAGTAGCATTTGCGCAGGTGCACTTTTACAACTGAAAAGTTGGAAAGTTTGCATTTTGTTGTCAATGATGAAGGAGTAGTGAATTCTTGCTTCATTGGTTCCAGTCCTCCCCCATTGCTCTTTGGATGGCAAACTTTTTGATTCTACAATAGCTGATGAGGGAACATGGACTTTGGAGGATAGAAAAATGGTTCGTGGCTCAGCGCCTGTGGCTCAAGCCGCTAAGGCGCCAGCCACATACACCTAAGGTGGCGGGTTCGAATCCCCAGCC